ATATTGTTTTTTTATTTATTTTTAGCTTGATTCAGTTTGCTTGCTCAACCAAATATTTCTGGTATATTTAACTGCTATACGCAGCACCATTTAATTTTTTTTTCTCGAAAACAGGAATAGAAGAGATACACTGAAAGGTGTTCGTAAATTCCCCAGTTCACTGAGCTTGGCCTATACTCCGTTCACCCTTAAGCTGAGACTAGAAACTCCGCCTTCAGCGCGAGCTCGCTGGCTTCCACAGTGTTTTGGTTGCACGCGCCTGCACGTTCATAGTTATGTTTGAAAGAGAAGAAAGTTCACGCTGAGGGCAGGAGCTTCTAGTCTTAGCTTAAGGGTGAACGGAGTGGAGTTCACGCACGTATACAATTAGACTATCCCAAGGGTTGTTAGAACTGATGTCGAAATGTTTATTGTAGAAATATGGGAATAGTAAGGTAAAAAGAAGTTATTAAGTTTCACTTTGTTGATACGGTTAATCTCAAACCCTTCAGATTAGCGCAAGGCTTGCGACTAATCGTCGAGACAAAATCTCGATTTTTTAATTTTTTATTGCACTGTTACAGTCGGTTATTCATTTCCACACGACAAAAATTACGCTATGCCGCACACAAAATGGTATAGTGAAACTTTAAAACAATGACATCAACAACAACCTCAAGCTATTTTTTACTACACAGATACCATCTAGCACCATTATACATAAATTTAGTTTATAATTTGGTAGTATTAAAATTTAAACACGGGGTTAGTGGCCACAATCCACCTCCCCGTTAAAAAAATTCAGCCGTAGTCACATATCTTTTTCTATTCATCTATGCGTTTCTTGAACCAACTAGCATGACGGTGAGGGTCTCAGGAAAATGAAGGAAAATGAACAAAAAGACGCCATGTGGTTCCACTGAAACGGGATTCATCAATCGCTCTGGTCGTACCTCTATTCATAAAGGGCAGTACAAACAGCACCGTAAGGATAGTACAGAAAGGGGATAAATCAAACGTTTTTGGTTTCTGGGCAAGGTGGCGCAAGCTACCGCCTGTTGCACAAAGTACAGCCATTAGCATCCGTCCATCCAACCGAAATGGGACGTGGTTGACTCCGCCGTGTTGTTGACGCATAGCAAACCATGACAATCATTCGATAACACGCCATATTGTGTAATCGCAAAGTCGGCGTGGCCTATACTTTGTTTCAGTTTTCCGACGCTGCGAGCTAATGGGTCCAAGTAAAGGGAAGCTGAAGAGTTTCTTAGAAACGACGAGTTAGAGGTGAATTCTAGCGTATTTTTTATTCCGTGAATCTGAATATTGCATTCATTTTTCCTGAAGATGTAACTAAACGCGAAAAAACACGAACAACCTCCAACCAGTCGTTTCATCGTACTCAGATCTTTCGGCCGCCAAGCGCGTGTCGCTCGTGTAAGCAGCGCGTGCCCTTGCAAGTAGGCATAGAGGGTATTCACTGGACGCCATATGTGAGGGCGATGTTTAGAGCGCATGCCCAGAACGAGCTCACATTAATAAGCCGCTAAGACTGGTCAACTTGATGGTACGGAATACACGTTGCAAACTAACTGTGGAAGCTCGCCGTCAGCACGCGCTCAGCAGTCGCACACACAACTATGGCCGCCAGTGAATACAACCTGTAAAGAGCGCAAGTTTGTCGGCTTTTTTTTTTTTTTTTTTTTTTTTTTTTAACAGGGGCTGTGGTGACGTCAGAAAGCCAAGCTCTTATTGGCTCTAAAGCAAGCCGCCTTGAGGTCTACCCACTATCCTTCAATCAGAGCCAATCAGACCTAGGCTGTCTGACATCATCACAACCACTGCAAAAGAAGCAGACGAACTTGCGATTCGCATATTTCCCCTCATAAACACAAGTCGTAACGTCCTTCATTTTTTTTTTTTTTGTCTTTTGAAAATAGCAAGATTGCACGCGTGCATAGCTTTGATAGGCACAAAAGATGCGCGAGATCGGAGATTCTGAAAACTCTGAATATGACGATAGACTCCGGGAAGGAGGGGCTTCGGATGTACTTTGATAATGATTTTCTGCATACTCCGTACACCAAATTAAAAAAAAAAAGGAAGAATCTCGATATTTCTGATTTTGGAGGCCAAACGTGGTTTTCCTCAAATACAGAACCGCTTCAGTTTCCCTTTAAGTAGCGTCAAAAGAGCAAGTCACCGAGCCTTTTATGTTTATGGTGTGTTTAGCTGTGATAGAACGCGTACAGAAACACGACGAACACCATGACGGTGCGCTTTTGAGGTCGTCTGATTGGTCTCATCAGCTCGCAGCGTCGGCTGTTAAGGTGAAACGAAGTGTAGCGGGCCACATTCTCCGCCCGTCGGCCAAACCCTTTCAGTATAAGCGACCACATATCGGGGTGGAGGCGCGTAGTTACGTTCTAGGCTTTTTAAATGACGACCTTCATGAACATAAGGTCGGGGCGCAAGCTAGCTGGCCAATATTAGACATAACACCACCCCGAGACTGCAGTTAAGCGAAGGAAGACAAGCTCACTCGATTTTTATTTATAGGGCATCTATTGGGCCAGCTTTTAGTGCCTTCGTGTCCATCCTTCGGATGTAGACCTCGATGGAGACGTCACGGTCACGTCGTGTCCATGTCATGACACAATTTCACGTAACGTCGCGTGATGCCGTGACGTCATAGAGGACATCTAATGCTATGCATTTATAGAGCGGGGATATACCCGAGATCGTATACTGTTTCATTAGGCAAGCTTCCGGCCACTCCAGGGAATCGTCGCTTGTCGAGCCGTTCTTGCCCCAAAAATGGCCTGGGTGGGCGACCGACCGCCGACTCGAGTTTGCGAAGCGGGGAGGGCGAAAAAAGCGGAACCTCCCGAAAATAGCCTCGCATTCATCCTGCCAAAGTTTTTTTTTTTTTTTTTTTTTTTTTCGCCTTTTTGGTTGTTTTGGGAGGAATTCTAGGAATTCCTCCCAAAACACGTGCTCCGAGCGTTCCACGTGCTCCGAGCGCTGCTCGGAGCACGTGGAACGAAAGATCGAGCTGCAAAACCCGGGGATCCTGGCTTCAATCCCCGCCGTTTCGATCTGGATGAGCATCGTACCGGCGTGCGGTCCTGTATCACTCACTATATTGCGTGGTACACGTTAAATACCTCAGGTTAACAACCGCACTGCACTGGCTGAATATATCTGTTTGCGATGGGTAACAATGTCGCCTACACTCTGGCAGACTTAACTCCTGCTGCCTAAACAACTTACTTTTTTTTGTTACTGATTTTCTTTTCTTTTTTTTTTTTGTCTCAATGGTGGAAAGACTTCTGCGTGGAATTGTTTTTTGAACTGATTCAGAAATTATATACATGAGTGTTTGATTTTAATTCAAACAGATTTATTATAAAAAAGTCAGTAATATGCACACTATGATGTGGTTTGTGCATGTGAGTTATACGGCCAAAAAGACATTCGCTTTTTTGTGTGTTTTTTTATATATAAGAGAGGTACATTGGCTTTTTTCAAACCCACTTTCACGCCTTCGTCTTTAGATAACCAGGTGATGTGAATATCTGATTCGCTCGAGAAGGCTAGCGAGAAAACCTGCCGCCACAACTTTCTGTTCTAGGCGCTAGTTCCGCCGATTTAGCTGAAGACGCCAATAGGATAAGATCCAAACACAAAGCGAGAGCATGCGCTGAAATGCGGCAGGTTACGAGCCACATTACGGCACACAACTAAACTACCCTGGTAACAAATTCCATGCTTCCAGTCCACAAGGTCCGGAACGAGAAGGTTAATTTTAATTGTATGCTATCGATTGTCCGTAGGTGCCTCACGTGTTGCTCTGGACTCGTACAACGAAACGCATTAATGCATGAAGCTGTCGCAATGTCGTCTCAAATGATATACGTATACGTTTTAATAAAACATTACGTAAAAACCAGGCTTCAAAAAGCTTCGGCGAGAAAAGAAACAGCAAGCTGTTATACAGAAGTCTCGTGTCCCCCCCCCCGTTCCCGTCCCCCCCCCCCCCATATATTGATACGCTCGCATAACATTTGTCCAGCACGAGGAATCAGACTTTCGAGACTCAGAATGTTCTCCTTCTCAGAGCGGTACCACGTGTGCTTTCGTCAAAGTCTGGCTTATGTGATGCTTTTGGTCGCACATGCTCGGTATAAATGTCATCGCGCAATGTTGTGCGAGATAAACAGATTTGATATAAAATTGTTCAATAGTAAAATGAAAACAAAAAAAATGCTTCGGGTCGAGTGCGGAAAATATTAAGTACAAAGCTCGTTGATACAGACGTGGTTACGAAGACTTTGCCGAAATCACTACTCAGAAACAAGCTCCGTTTGTTCTCTTAAATTAAATACGCAGACACACGCGGAAGATGCATACCATCTGTTTAGAACAATTATATCACGTAATTCCCCCAAAAAAACACATAAAGGGCCAACAAAAAAATCACAGAAGTTAGACGTGTCCCGTTTTAGTTAATGAAAAAAATAAAATAAAACGGACGAGAAGCACACTCCTCCGCTGTTCACAACTGAAAATTAGACACTTTTTTTTTTTTTGCCTAATAGACATTTTTATTACGGCAGTCGTACCGCGTGCGCACAACCTAAATTGCTTGTTCATGCCGTTTCCGTACACAAGAATTCTCGCCTCAGCCTCTACTCATATTTCTCTCCCCCCACCCAAAAAAAAATAAATAAATAAATACGTTGGTGATCTGGCAATTGCAGGCCATGGAAATGAGGGATGTTGTGAGTTGAAGGAGTGCGGCCGTCTCGGTCTCGTCCTCTTTCTGTCTTATTATTTTTGCTAGCAGTACGCTTATACTCGTACCAACACGCTCTCTACGAATATAAAGGAAGTACATTTCCAACTGTAGTCCAGACACCGAGAGTTACATAAAAGAACAAAAATAAGTCGCTCATTGATGTTTCGTTGTTTCCATTCTTCTTCTGACGATTTTTTTTTCCCCTGTGTTTTGCGTGCAGTGCTGCGCAAGGCGTTCGACATGTTCGATCGCGACAAGAAGGGCTACGTGCATACCAACATGGTGTCGGCTATCCTGCGTACCCTGGGACAGACCTTCGAGGATAAGGATCTCAAGGACCTCATTGCTGAGATCGACCAGGACGGTACTCACCCTTCCTTCCCTCCTCTTTCTTTTCTTGTTTTCGCTACTTCCTCGCAATTTACTTATGGCGAAACTTGTTCGAAGAGCAAGATCGTCTGCTTCTTTTGCAGGGGTTGTAGTGACGTCTAAATGCTGAGCCCCGATTGGCTCTGCTTGAAGGATAGTGGGTAGACCTCAAGGCAGCCTGCTTTGAGGTCTACCCACTATCACAGCCAATCAGAGCTCAGCGTCTCCCTGACGTCACTACAACCCCTGCAAAAGAAGCAGACGAACTTGCGCTCCGCATCGCTCTCATTGTTCTCGTTCAACGACACTCCTGAAGACAAAAAAAATCGGTGTGATAGTTTTTTCTTTTTTTTTTTTGCAGAGCATTAGAAGGTCTCATCATGACAATTTTTAAAACTCAACAGATGAAAAAAAAAAAAAACAGTTTTGAAATATTATTTTTGGCAGTGAAGATACGCGGCGCTTGGCGATTTCCCAGCATCTCATTGTCTCTCTACTATAGCCAATGAGATTTCGGCATTAGGCAATAAGAACGACGAACAACCAATCGGGAAGCGAGAAGCGTTTCTTAAAATGTCACGTGTCCACAAAAAGTAAAGTCTGCCACGTGACACTGAGCAGTACGTGTCAGTTTCGTTTCATCGAACTCGTCATTCGCAAGGTTTGCAGAGTGAGCCAATCACTCCGTAGATCACTGCGGCTTATGGAGCAAACCAGTCACTCGGTAGATCGCGGCGATTGCCTCCTCAAGCACTCCGGAGGAAGGTAGACGCGTAGGCATCATATCAGACTATGGTATTACTTTCGGAGAGCGTATCCCTTGGCGGCATGTGAGGGCTGCACCTGCAGAGGCCTCAAATGTCGGTCCAATAAGTGAACCACCGAGATTGTTTTCCTCGACAAGAACGAGTAGAAATGACCACAGTTCAATGACGTCAAGTGCAAGTCATTGATAGGTTTTTGTATTATATAAAATTTCTTAGAATTTCTTGGGATACATGTGGTGTCTCTCCGGGCCCAGGTTCCGGCGAGCTGGAGTTCGACGAGTTCGTGGCCCTGGCGGCCCGCTTCTTGGTGGAGGAGGACTCCGAGGCGATGCAAGAGGAGCTGCGGGAGGCGTTCCGTCTGTACGACAAGGAAGGCAACGGCTACATCAACGTGTCCGATCTGCGCGAGATCCTGCGCGCCCTCGACGACGCGCTCACCGAGGACGAGCTGGACGAGATGATCGCCGAGATCGACACCGACGGCAGCGGAACCGTCGACTTCGACGGTACGGGCCTTTGGGGCGACAAAGCAGTATCGCGATGGTCCGCCATTCCGTGTCCCAGGTCTTGCGGGAAGCGACCGTGCCATACACCCTCGGCACCTTGGGAATGGCGCCCGCATGCGTCGTCTGCTTGTCCGACCATTGCGCGGCTCCGCTACGCAAAATGCCGATGGTCACTGATTCGTTTCAAAATTGGTTCCGCGCATTAACAATAGACACAGCTCAACTAGTAATCCAGATTACACGTCTTAAAAGCTTTTTTCCTTCGGTTTTTCTTTAATTAATGTTTTATAGAGTCTGCCCCACAAAAAGTTTGCTGCTTGTGATGCTGGGCTGTTAAGTCCGAATGTTCGATAGGAATTTTGGAGCATACCCGAAGATTCCGGAAATTCGATGACGGTGTCAACCTCCATGCATCGTTTTGCTCTCTCCTTAGTTTACGTACAGCATGCAAGGCGGACGAATGAGTTATAACGTGAAAGAGGCCGTCAGTTGATAAGTAGTTTGTTAGCGGTGTACTACAATGAATGACGGAGACAAAACTGGTTATGTAGGAAGGAAAGAGGTCCCCTCACAGAGAGAAAGGGAGAGAGAGAGAGTGCGCGAAAGCCAGAACAGGCTTGAGTGATTTAGACTGGAGGTAATTATTCAAATGAAGGAAGGCGCACTGTTGGGAGCGGAAAAAAAAAATCCCATGTAATAATATAAATTCACACTGTGGTCAGGAGTGCGTATATCGCCTGTCCTACATAGTACAGATATAGTGTTTAACATTTGGTGATGCAGCAACGTAACATAATTCTAAAATCATCGTTACCCTGAGTCTATATGTTTATTCAAAAAGTGGCTTTACAACTATTGTTTTGGGAGACATGACCAAGAGCAATGAAATGCCTGACGAGACCATGACATCCCTTCAGCTACACTACAAAGTCATACAAAGCAAAATATCAGAAAGGGTAAACATATGGCCGCTATTCATTGTCTAACACATTCTAAAGTTACGAACGCCTTAATATTTCACACAAGATTTTTTTTTCTTAGTTCCTTGTTGCGTTATAATCCTCCCCAGTAAAATTTCTTTCGTAATATTTTTATGAAACTTTCGTTGACATCCGCTTAAAATCAACACAGCCAGCAAAGACTGCATAATCTGCCGACTATCTCATGATTATATTCGATACTTCATGTCTTCTGTCGTCGACCTGGAAGGAAAAAAAGTTTGCGTCGAGTGTTATTTAGTGGAACTGATTTTTCCCGACGAACAGCCGATGAGGGGGAAAAGTTCAGAAGAGAGAAAGAAAGACAGCGAGAAATTAAGAGAGGGGAGAGAGAGAAATAAAGAGAAAGAGAAGAGAAGAACGTCTATTCAATGCCGACTAACCGGAATTGGGCGAGCATCGGCGCGTGGCAGTAGTTACGTAACAAGCCGAGAAAGTTGCCCCTCCCCTGCGCTAAGCTAGCCCTGGCTGTCCCCGACCCATTTTTACTTGACTGCGCAACGGCCTTGCGCGAATCGTCGTCGACTGCTTTGCCTCTTGTCGACTGCTATAGGGAACGCACGAAAAACGCATCTTGCCGTCTCTGAGCTCGCTTTGAGATAAGCGCGAATATACGTTGTTAAATGCGAGCAACGCAGAGGCAAAATCGTTCCCGCCGTTTTAAGTCTGCTTGATTTCTACTGAAGGTGTCATATATGTGCATTAAAAACATCTCTATTGTTTCTCGGGGCATTAAAAGGGCATATTAGCCACTGGCTGTGTTGTCATTGGAAAATCCGAATAGAATAACTAGAGTGGCACTGTAGAATAACTTCCAAACTGATAATGCGATTCCTTCTAATTTTCAATGGTAAAAAAAAAAAAAATACATTTGAGCTTGTTGGAAAAAAAAAAAAAAAGATTGCCTATTTATTTAGTGGATACTGAATATTTTCACGGATAAAAGATTAAATTATTGGTATAATAATAATAATACGATAATAAACACCAAATATTTTCTTGTTCCCATTTAAGTGGAACAAAACTGGGAGGAATGCTCTCCCTTTTCTTATTCACGTTGCCAAAAGTTCACCAAGCTTTTCAAGAGAAAAAAGTCATTTTTTTTTTGTGACATTCCCTGCTACTTACGTGAATATTTGGAATATACAGCAAGGTGCTAGCCAAGTGAGATAACGATAGTTTCTACCGAAAGCAAGTTTCTATCATTATTTGTTTTGTTTTGTAATGTGTGAAGCGGATTTTGGCTTAAGGACTGTTCGCACAGGGCCGTTTTCTTACGTTGCGTAACGTTACGGAAACTTTTGTCGGCTTACGTCAAGAGTCACCGAGACATCTGTGCTTCGATGGATGGATGGATGTTAATGGCTATACCCTTCATAACGGGCGGTAGCTTGCGCCACCTAGCCTAAGTCTAAGCAGACAACCAAATGAATGAAGCGTGGCAACCATTTCAGAGAACAGACTAGCACGCGACATTCGAGGCACTGATCGATGTTCCGGTGACAATTGCGAATCCCGGCGAAAAGCTCACCCACTTTTGCGCGGGTCCAGAGAAAAATCTCACCAGTCTTTTGACAGACCCGAAGAAAAGCTCATATGAAATAAATTATTATGTAAAATGGCCGTTATCATTTGATAGCAGTAGCGGTAGCAAGGTTTTAGGCGCGTCTCGTGCAGGTGGTATACATCGTGCAACCGAGTTACCGCGAAGCGATTTTTACCATTTGACTTAGAAGATTGACCAGCGTCAAACCTTTATATCGCATAAGTTTGTGCCCCGAATGAGCGATTTCCATTGTACTAAAAATTTTAATAAAAAAAACCCCAAAAAACAAAAAAAAGAACGTTCGTTTATGTTGACAGTGTCACGCAGTGTACACAATTCACATCACGTCGCTTTTCTGTGAGCAAAATAGGAAAACAAATTATTTAGAAAAAATCATTTTTTAAGTATAAATTTTTTTTTTAATTTAAATCAGATTAACATTACTGTACCTAGAAGATATTACATTTTTATCACTATATATGCATTTTTTAGCACGGCAGGTTGTTTGATCAGGTCTTCCGATCAGTGAAAATAACGCGGAAAAAAATAATTACTGCAATCCTACCAACTTTTTGTTCATGCAAACCCCGCCCTACTAGAACAAAAACAGCTTCATTTTTTGTTAGCGAAAGAGGCTCTATTGTCTTTTTCCCAAACCTTCCCAGTTTTCGTTTCTATCTTTTGCGTACTGATTTGATTGCACAAAGATGTGGCGTAACTGACGATCAGAGTCGGGGTAGAAATCAAGCTCAACGCATCGATCCGCTCCAAAAACCACCGCTTTTTTGCTCGCGTTCAGACCGATAGAAATCTTTCTTGCGTGATGATTCTTTGATTTAAATACAGAACATATGTGCATATTAGAATTATTAAATGATAAACAAACGTTAAAAAGGAATATTTTAGGAATTATTTTTGCGGGAAAGGTTTAATTTAAATCATCCTAGTAAAACGGGTCAGATTTAAATCACGATTTAAATAATCCTGAGTTTCATTCTCCACCCTGGCTGTAGTCCTCGTTCCGCTTTTATGTCAAACCATTTCGCGTGGGTGGTATACCGTATTTAATTTTGAAGTTGCCTGGATAGAGGAAATACGACCTTGTTGCGGTGTCGCCGGTAGACTACATAAAATGACATTTCGTAAATAAATATTCAGAAAGTATTCAAGCTGCAGCCCTCTAGACTGGTTATATCCCCCCCCCCCCCCCACCCCCCCGGTATTTTTTTTTAATCAGCATTCTATTGGAATTATTTATTTAAATTTAGTCGGGCAAAGCCTGGCGTGTTACAGGACGTTTTTATATTTAAAAAATAAGCTCTGCTAGTGAAGTGCAGAATGACTGCATGCGCATAAGGCATCCTAGCATATTTCGATAGAGTGAACGTATTTCACTTGAGAACGCTCGATTCTTAGGTTCGTAGGTGAGCCTTTTTCCGCATTCGTCAAAAGGCCTGTGAGCTTTTCTCCTCATCGGACAGTTTTGCGGTGAACTTTTTTCCGGTGAGCTTTTTTCCGCAGCCCGGCTTTGTGAAGGCGAAAGGCGAATGCCAGCCCTCCAGCATTTGCGATGCAAATTCAGTCTAAAAACCGGCAGAACGAAAGAAGTATTGTTGAATAAAGGATTGAAATAAAACACCGACAATGGTACTTAGGATTCCGTGTTTTCGGAGTTTATTTTTCGTCAAACTCGGAGGCTGTTTTTCGGAGCATATCTTTGGGAAAAATCCGGAGTTTAACAGAGTTTATTTTTGTTAGATTCCCAAGTGTTTCCTGTTTTTCAAAAATGAAAATTAATTTATATCCGGGTGTAAAAGTATGCTGGATTAAAGAGAACGCGCTTGTATCGATTAATATTCCTTCTGTCGGATTTCGTGTCGACACCATTGCCATTGGCGATATAAATGTGTCCCAGGACAAACGTTGCAAACAAGTGTTGCTTGGATAGAGGCCGATATCTTAAAATCAATAAACTCCTGCAGGTAGTCGCAGGGAAGCTCGTATTTATCCCATCCTATCCATCAACCTTTACCACTCCACACCGCGGCTGCGCGGGGTGGAGTGGTAAAGGCTGTACTATAGAAGCACCCAAATACCCATCCCCTCTTCTATGAAACCTCTATGGTTCACAGCTTTCAATGCTAAAAAAAACGCAACGCCTCCTTTCTCTAAAGGACAAATAGTGTGGCCCTAACTGAAAACCGGAGCAGTGCCTTTGCTATGACCCGAAAGTTTACAATGACCTGTTGTTCCGAACATAGAGTTATTACAATAAACGCTAGAGGCTCAGCTGGCGCTAGTGTGCTGTTGCATCTTGAAGCAGACAGCATGCAGTCACAAAACTGACTTCCGGTAATGCATTTCTATGGGAAAAATCGAGTGCATTTTCTCTCTGCGCTCGAATATAAGAGCAAATATCACGAATAATTTGTACGTACTAGGCACATTGGAACATTTCTCAGTCACGCAGAAGAAATAATTGGTCAGTTATAGCATTCTTATTTGAAATTCGCGGCATGATTAAGACCGCTTCGTACGTGTATTTATGTGCACTGTCGGACACTGGTAGCGCGAACACGGCGTCCACGCTTTGTGGAAAACCAAGAGAGACGGCAAGAACTACCCAGTAGCACTGGATAAGTAACTCCTTGTACTTGCAGACGATCAAAATTAATTGAAAGTCACGTAATATAGTCCGATTTGCGATAAAAAAGTACTGCTTTATTCTTTCTGCTCATGAATATGTGCGAAGATGCTCGTTCTGTGTTCAAATCATCACCCGCACGCTCCAAATCTTTGCAAATAGGGGGAAGTCAGAGGTGCGCGATAAAAACTGCCAAACATAGAAAATAATAAGAAAACACACCTTTCGTAGCCCGCGTACTTTATTCTTCACGTTTCGAACGTTTTTCCAACCACTCGTAAAGATGCACGACGGGGTCATTTTCATATAGTGAGAGGACAGGCATATTAGCAAGATATATAAGCACCAACGGAATCCTGGCGAACTTTGAACACACTCTACATTCCTTTCGATCGTTTTTTTTTTTTTTTTTTTTTTGCTTGGAATCGTCGCTTGTTGCTACATACCTGTCATGGAACAGAGGTTTGGGACTGAAATATAGCGAAGTTTAGCATCGCTCGTTCGTAAAGGAAAAACGCTGTAACTAAAGCAATTACACTTTCACAATATTAATAAAGGTACGTACTATCCGGTACAACCGAAATAACAAAAGTTATTCATGTTATCTTTCGGCGACGAGACAAAATTCACGCGCGTTTTCCCATAGGAATTCGCAGGAAGACTGGAAAAGTAGACTGCATGCTGTCTGCTTCAATTTGCAACCGGAAGTCCCGTAGACACTAGCGCCAGCTGAGCCTCTAGCGTTTATTGTATTAACTCTATGGTTCCGAATGAACCTTGACGAGATCAGTGGTAAGATCTCTCTTGTCAATGGCACGAGATTTGAAAGAAAGCTGGGGTGGCATTTTTTCAGGACCATTGACCCTGTGTAAGGAGTCGGACTGAACTTAAAATACAGTTTGGACAAAACCGCGAGACTGAGGGGGCGGAGGAAGGACAACACAACACAAAGTCTCACTTAAAGGCCGATGACCAGACTCAAGATTCTGCAAGGCAGAATATCCTCCTCACCATGGAGGAGGAGGAAACAGGCAGCGGTGGACAGAGTAGAAGGGGGAAAGGAGGAAGCGGGGGAAGAGTGGAAAACGCGAACTGGTCGTCGGTCTTTAAGACTTTGTGTTCTGTTGTCTCCCCCCCCTCCCCAGTCTTGGCGTTTTGTCCAGAATGTTAAACCTTCACCAGCCTGTTCGCGCACTAACTTCTTCG